TTGTATGTTTAGTAGAGACTGAGTTTTATCATGTTGGTCAGGCTGGTGTTGAACTCCTGACCTCGTGATCCACCTGCCTCGGCCACCCAAAGTGCTGGGATTATTACAGGCATGAGTCACTGGTGCCCGGCCCCTGCTTTTTGTTTTTACTAAAGCCTTTCGACCCACCTGCTCAGAAGGAGGTGGTAATTGGTTGAGAATTCAAGAATTGTTACAAAGCAAGGGTGTGTTTTCTTCAGCTTTCCCTAGCAAATATAGTATTTAGAGCAGAGCCCCTGCAAATCCCCTAAACCCAATAAAAGCCAGCAAGACAATAAGCCCATGTTCAGCTGATAGCAACATCTTTGGCTAGTCGTATTCCCTGACTCCTGCTGCACCCGATGAACAGAGTGCCTGCTGAGACCTTCCTGTGGGCCTTGAACCTGACTGTCGTTTACAATAGAGGAAGACGGAGTAAGAAATCTGAAGGAAAAGCGTGGCAGAGGCTCTCAGCTCTGGTGCATCTTGGTATATATATCTTAGGGAGCTTTAAAGTCTCACTCTAAAGCAGAGAGTCCTAACCATGTCTGTAATTTGCAGTCACTTGAGGAAAGAAAAAGATCGATGCCTTTGCTGCAACCCCAGGATTGGGTATTGGGGTTTTCAAAACCTTATGGATTATTCTGATGTGCATTTGAGCTTTTAAACCATTGAGTTAGGACAGTATCTGTCTACTGGAATTGGCCAGTTATGGCCCTGCAACTCCGATGAAGGGTGAATTTGAAAGTTTTGTGTGCATTTTTCTCTTGTTTTGTTTCTTTTACCTTCATTTATGATAGCCCAATTTTGGGAAACAGATTCGGTTCCTTGTGGGAATTTGCTTCTTAGCTAGTTTTATATTTGAGAGAAGGAGTAAATAAAGGTTTGCGTTTTTCTTTTCTTTCCCTCATTCTCCCATCCCCACCATGGAAAGATCGTGAGTTACAGTTGATTTTCTGATTAGCTTAAAGCTTTCAACTAGGATTACATTGGAAGTTCTTCCTTTGAGAGTGTATTGTTTTCAGTTTGTAAAGCCCTTATCTCATAAATACAACTTTACACGTAACTTTGCTAGAGGACGCTTTTTAAAGGATGCCTGTATTGTTTTTGGAGGAAGCGGCTTCAGAAGGCTAAGGACTAAAATTTTGGTTTCAGAATTTATTTCCTATCTATGTTCTCTATATTGTATAGAATCACTCATAGTTGAGTTGAACTTGCAGCCATCAAACATTGGCATTGTAGTAGCAGTATACGGCATCTGTATTAGTCAGTTCTCCTACTGCTGTAAAGAACTCCCTGAGACTGGGCAATTTAGAAAAGAGTTTGAATTGACTCACAGTTCCATATGGCTGGGGAGGCCTCGGGAAACTTACAGTCATGGCGAAAGGCAAAGAGGAAGCCAGACATCTCCTTCACAAGGCGTCAGGAGGGAGAATGAATGCAGGAGGAACTGCCAAACACTTAAAAACCGCCGGAACTTGTGAGAACTCACTATCACGAGAACAGCATGTGGGAAACACTCTTATGATTCAGTTACCTCCACCTTGTCTCTTCCTTGAGGTTTATGGGGATTACAGTTCAAGATGAGATTTTGGGTGGGGACACAGGCAAACCATGTCAGCATCTTATTGAGGATGTTCCCCTCCTTTTTGCATATAATGCAGACATCTCATTGTATAAACTAATATGCTAGTAATGTATTGTAAATATTTGTACTAAGTATAGGAGAGAGTTGCTGAAGATGTTTAGATGCATATCTTACATGGTAAGGGTAAGAAAAATAGGCTTTGGATAAGCACAGAAGGTAGATAAAGTAGGTTATAATATGCTTTTTGCCCAACCTCTGGAGAACTGTGAGAGTCACTGTTTATCTTCTGTTGGATTTGGCTTAAGAAAGCCTCTCCCCTTGTGTAGCTTGTGTGCCTTGAGTGGCTCAGCTCCTGGGCCAGAATCCAGGTGAGTTCTCTGTAAGGATGGGTAAGACGAGAGGTTTCACCTTAAACAACTTAGAAATGACTTTTGAAGGTTTGAAGCACTAACTACTTGTTTTTAAATGCTTTTTTGTTGCCAGCCTTGCTTTGTTTTTTACACTATGAGAGAGATTGAGAAGAAACCATAAACTGGTCTGGTGGAGTTAAGTAACCCTAGAATTGGAGGAGGAGATTTTAGGTTAACTAGTCAAACTTCTTGTTTCAGTTCAGCACACCCTCTCACAGCATCTCATGCCAGTCTTTTGCCTTTTGTCTTGCAAACTCCCAGTGACAGGGCCTCCTGGCCACCATTGTTTACTACATCATTCACAGTTAGGAAGGTCGGCTGACATTTTCTTCCCTGTAACTTCTGCTTTAGTAAGTGATGACTAGCCAGATAGTGAAGACCTCAATCATGTTTCCCCAAGGCTTCTTAGCTGTAGACTGAGCATCTTTAGTTTTTACTATGTTTGATACATCTTTTTTTTCTATCTTACGTGGTATTTATGGATGTGCTTTAGTTTGATGATGACTTATTTAAAAACGGTGGTGCTTGGGGATGGACCCAGCATTCCAGCCAGCCAATCAGTGTGCAATGTCCTGTGCACTTGCTTGCCAGGTTCTGGTCACCGGAAGAGCCCAAGATGACAGGTAAACAGGCAAAGCTGTGAGGTTAGTGAGTGGCAGTTTCTTAAGGGGCCAGGAGGAATTTCCCTCAGTAGTACACTGGGAGGATTAGTGATCTTGAGCCAGATCATGTCATCTGTTTGGACCCTCAGGTTGCTTTTATACAAAAGAAGGGATGGGTCAGTATGGGCTCTCATTCCTTTTTAAAATGTTGAGTGCTTTCAAAAGGCAGCTGTTTCTGAAACCTCTATCTACTACAGGGATTTAGTAGAAGATGATTGGGATTTATTGGGCTCCTGGTTCCACTCAAAGGCTAACACCAGACAGTGTTTTAGGTCTTCATTTGTCACTTGGTTTGGTATTTCTGCCACACTTTCCACATTCTGATTTCTCTCTTAGGAGGGAATGAAAACAGGATCACCTTTGCCTTTAGAACTTAAGGAATATGTAGTTCTCTTCCACCTGTGGGAGATTCACCTTGAGAGATTACAAAACAAACTTATTCTAGTACTACTTCTACATAGATCTATGGATAAGGCCCAGAAATCTATTTTTTTTTTTTTAAAGCTGGCAAGTGACTTTTTAGCCAGGTTTGGGAAGTATAGTTATGTGCACATAAGGATGTTTTAATCCATGATGGACCTAATATATGATGGTGGTCCTATAAGATTATAATATTGTGTTTTACTATATGTTTTCTGTGTTTAGGTACGTGTAGATACACAAATTGTAAACAGTACTCAGTTCATTGACATGCTGTGCAGGTTTGTAGCCTAGCAGCGATAGCTAGACCATGTAGCCTTGGTGTGGAGTAGGCCATACCATTGAGGATTGTGGAAGTACAGTCTAATGTGATGCTTCTTACATGGATGAAATTGCCTTTCACAGAACGTGTCCTCATCGTCAAGCAACACGTGACCGTACTAATTTTAAAAGTATTTGCTTCTTACAAATAGTGAAGTATTTTTAGATAGCATAATGTGTACCTAGAATTTGCTTCAGAATAGCTCAGTACAAGGAAAGAGGTATGGTTAGGAATAAAGATGAAATAGATGTAGCCATGCTTTCATAATTAGTCAAGCTATAGTGATAGGTGCACAGGGTTCATTCTTCTACTGTCTACTTTTGTTGTGCTTGAAGTTTTCCAGACAAAAAGATAAGCAAAAAAAAAAAGTATATTTTGCATTTTGAAACCATTTACTCTTGTCTATTGTGCTTATTCTATAATCACAAAAGGTAAATGGTAAGGTATGTACCATATTTATCTCATTTAAGACTGACATGAATTACCTCCCTTGGATAATCAAGACTTTTCCCTTGGCCTCTGTCTCGGCTCTGTGCAGTACTCTTGAGCTGTTGGGTGAGTGAAATGTCATGACGGCCATCATTTTGGCTTCAAGTCTATAAGATAACATGAAACTAGACGTTCTCTCACACAATGCCCTGTGCCACAGTCAGCGTCTCATCAACATTTTTGAGGTGCGACAGGAACACTCTGGTTGTGCATGTGTGGCTGGTGACTTGAGGAGGAGCCAGGAGGCCCCATGGGCACATCGTGGTCTCACATGGCATTGTGCCCTCTTCAGGGCAGGCTCTGTAGTTGATGTGGTGGGTTCCGTCTCTTCCACATAAACCCACCTCGTCTTCCCCTTACAGCCTATTTTTTTGTGGTCACTTCATGTTTATTTTGGGAGAAGTCTGGATAAAAGCTGAGTGTTCTTATGAGTCTCCTGCATGTCTAGTGCCACCTGTGGGGGATCCTTTGTGTGGAGTGTCTTTTAGCCTCACCGCTTCCTCAGGTTGGGTATTGCTGCAAGAATGAATGTGAACTTTGGCTTGGGATAACTCATTTAGCTATTTCATCTCTTACTCTTTGCTGTGAAGATAAACCAATCAAATTGATTTCTGTGTTAGTTGCAAATTTAAGAGTTTTGAAGCTGTTTGCAACTATTAACTTTGAGAGTTCAGAATTATAAAGGGTCTTCGCGCATATTTCTAGTAATGCAAGGACTTTTGCAGAGTTTTGATGACTGCTTCTGAATTAAGGTGGGTTTAAAAACTGATGTAAGCATCACTGTACTGTCACAGGTTAAGTGGTCTGTCATGGGTGCTTAGACAGGTAAATGTGGACACTGTGCCACAGAGAACTGCCAGCCATTAATTTATGAGCCTTCTTTCTTCCGTAGTATTTTAGTTTTGATTTTATTGTTGACTAAAAGTCCATTATATTAAAATATCAGCTAACATTTATGAATTATCTGAGTTAGCTGCAGGCCTTCGATGGTTAGTAAGTGGTCCTCAGTTTACTTTTCTCTCCTGAAGTTGGCCTAGTTTAGCTGATGCTTTATATTTCATTATCAAGACCTCAGATTTTACTTAGAACTAACTTTATTTTGGACTTAAAGAGTCTTTTTTTTTTTTTTTTTTCATGTTTTAAAAAAGTGACATTGTTTTATTACTATTGGCAGTTGGGGCCTGCATGAGGTGGTTGGTATGCTGGGCTCAGGGGATGTGTGGGCTATGGAGATGATGACAGAAAGGCTGGAAGGAAAGGGGATGGGTTTGAAGGCCAGGCCCAAGGGGTCCTCAGATCCGCTTCTGGGAAGGGACAGCCTTGAGGAAGGAGTCATGGCAAGCCATAGCTAGGCCACTAATCAGATTAGGAAATTCTGAGAAATCTAGCTGTCCATCACTGTTGGTATCCAGTCTCTTCATCATGCGGTCAAGGACACCGGGGTCCTTCTGGTTCTTTGTGAAGGCAGCCAGTTCTGTATTCATGAAGCTTAGGAACTCCGTCTTGGAGAGAGTATAGTTATAACCATCCTTTCCAGCATACTTCTGGCAAACAGCAATCAGGGACTCGAGGCACCGCTCAGTTTCTGTAGGGCTGGAGACTTCTGCCATGTTGTTGCTGAGCGAGACGCGGGAGGCTGTGGCTGGGAGCGGCGCTGAGAGCTCTCGACTTAAAGAGTCTTAATGGAGAGGAGTGTAGAATATATTCCTTAAGCTACGTGGGAAAGAGCAAAATGTTTTGTCATTTGTTTGGCTGGATTGTTTGACATGAGATAGAAGAGGAATTCATTTTGACCCTCTCAGTCCTTTTTCTGTTGCTCTTAATAGAATACCCGAAACTGGGTAATTTATAAAGAGAAGGGATTTGTTTTTTACACTTGTGGAAGCTGAGACGTTCAAGAATAAGGGACCACATCTGGTGGGGGACTTTCTGGTTGATGGGGGCTCTCTTCAGAGTCCTGGTGCAGGGCATCACCTGGTGAGGGGGTGAGCATGCTAGCTCATGTCTCTTTTCCTTTTGGCCACCAGTCCCACTCCCATGATTACCTATGAATCCATGAATGGGTTAACCCATTTATGATGACAGGGCCCTCATGGCCCAGTCACCTCTTAAAGGCCCCACCTCAATATTGCCACATTGGGGGATTACATTTCAATGTGAATTTTGAAGGAGACAAATATTCAAGCCATAACACCCTCTCATAGCTTTCTAATGAGTTTTCTAACATGTTTGGATGGTATACAGATGGTCTGTAGAAATGCAAACAGTGAAAACACTTAGCATTTACTCATGTAGTGCCATCTTCAGAAAGAAAAGAATTTGCTTCTGCAAAACTCAGTGGACTATATTTTAAAGCTGCTATGACAGTTTACAAAAAATATTATTTCCACAAATACTATTAATATCTCAAAATACCTAGAAGTATAAAGAACCTGTGATAGTCAGTGAGATTGTCTTTTGATTGTAATTGCAGAACTCCTTAAAGATGAAGCCATTTTTTTTCTGAAATAAAATGATCTTTGTCCAACACAGCTTACCAAGTAAATGGCCTGTGAGTCTGTTTTAGACTCTTAACATTTTTGGGGATAGTATATACTGGGTAATATAAAATGAAAGAGAAATAGGCAGTTGTCTCTTTATTTGGCATTAGCTCTCGTGTTAAAAACCATGAAACAGAAGGTGGTAATTGTCAGGCGCAGTGGCTCATGCCTGTAATCCCAGCACTTTGGGAGGCCGAGGCAGGCAGATCACTTGAGGTCAGGTGTTCAAGACCAGCCTGGTCTTGGTGAAACCCCGTCTCTACTATAAATACAAAAATCAGCCAGGCATGGTGGCACGAGCCTATAGTCCCGGCTACTCGGGAGGTTGAGGCAGGAGGATCGATCGCTTGAACCCGGGAGGCGGAGGTTGCAGTGAGCCGAGATCACGTCACCGCATTCCAGCCTAGGCAACAGAGTGAGACTGTCTTGAAAGAAGGTGGTAAGACCAAATAAGGAGCGCACTTAGGACTCCAGGGAGAAAATGTGTAGCATCAGAGAGTTAGAAGGTTGTCATGGTAAACTTGCTGTCATTAAATAACTGAGGAAACACCCAGGTTACGTCTTTAAGATTACAGCCTAAGTAATCTCCCGATTTCCCAGTCTAGAATGCTGTTGAAGCTGGATCCCAAAGTATAGATTGTCATAGCATATTTCTCTGCAGCATGCTAGCAAGATTTTTATCAGTGGTTCCTCTCACCTGGGGGGCTTGTTAGACATAGATTACCGGACCCCATCTCGCAGTTTTTGGTCCAGTAGTTCTGAGGTAGGACTGAGAACCTGCTTTTCTAACAAATTATGGAGTGCTGCTGAGGCTACTTACTCGTCTGGAGACCACACTTTGAGATAATGTTTGTACATTTTAATCACCTGGGAAGCTTTCCTCTTAACATTTTATTATGAAAAATTTCAAACCCATAGTAAAGTTGAAAGGTGTAAAATGAATACCTACCTCCTAGATTTTATAGTAACATTTTTGTTTTCTTTTGAGATGGAGTCTCGGTCTGTCACCCAGGCTGGGGTGCAGTGGTGCGACCACGACTCACTGCAACTCTGCCTCACGGGTTCAAGCAATTCTTTTGCCTCAGCTTCCCGAGTAACTGGGACTATGGGCATGCGCCACCATGCCTGGTTCATTTTTGTGTTTTTAGTACAGACGGGGTTTCACCATGTTGTCCAGGCTGGTCTCAAACTCCTGACCTCAAGTGATCCACCCACCTCTGCCTCACAAAGTGCTGGGATTACAGGCGTGAGCCGCTGCGCCCAACAAATCTCCTAGTTGATTTTAATGCGCAACATGTTTGGAGACTAGCTCTGGCTGCTCCTATATCTTGTAGTATATGAGAGAAACTGATTTATATTCAGAAACCTGGCAAAATTAAGAATAAAATCAATCTGTTGACATGAGGAAAAATTGGTGAGTATCGCACAAATGTTCAGCTTTCAGGAAATTGTGAAGATGTTAAGAATGAAACAGATGAAAGCAGAAGCAACTTAAGAGTTATGGCTCAGAAAATGATTAGAGAGAGAGAGAAGAAGGAGAGAGAGAGATAGAGAGAGAGAGAGAGAGAGAGAGAGTGTGTGTGTGTGTGTGTGTGTGTGTGTGTGTGTGTGTCCTGCTCCCACTCTCCCTCCCTATCCTTTTTTCCTGTAAGGCCTTCCCTGGAAATAATCTGCTTGATGTTGTGGAAGACATTATACTAAGAAAATATAATTTTTATTTAATATTCTGCTTACAATCTCTTTCCTTTATTTTTGCCAGCGTTTCACAAAGTAACAAAGTGGACAGTGCTTCTCTACTTGTAGGGTACAATCTATTTATGTGTAGTACAGCCAGTTTATTTGGTCAAGACTAGCATCTTTTAATTGCATAGAAAATAGAGCGCATCACATGTGCTAAGAGTGTTTTGCGAAACCTTTATTTTGGTTAAAAATACGTGTTATAGGTGTCTTGGGTGTGGTTTTAACTGTATTTTTTATTATAGGCTATAGTCAAAATAGTTTGAAAGCTACTGTACTGGGAGATGCTAGGTTCCTTTTAGTAAAAGTGAAGAATGGTTTTAAAAAATACACTTTGAAACAACCGAATAAACATTTATTTTGAAATGGGATCCAGCCACATTGCCCACTGCTATCTGCAGTGTGATCCTCTTTTCGTTTTGTTCTAGTTTGGCTCAGGGCCTCACTGTGTCTACACCCCTCCAGGTAACTCCTCTTGCCCACATGTGTGTGAGGACCCACACCACCCGCTCCTTGATTTGGCATTCCTTGTCTCCAAGCCAAAGGTCCTTCTCTGGTGAAATCCTGTTACAGTTCCTGTCTTCTCCATCTGACATACTCTGTTGGTACTCTGGGTGTTTTCCTGTCTTGAGGGTTATCTTGACTAGCTTTGAGGGCAGGTTTTGTTCTTGGTGTTTCCTGCAACCCTCAGCACAACATCAGATGGTGTGTAAAGATGCCAGGAACCTGTCTTTGTGTCTTCTCCTGCAGCTCCATGGGGCCTTTGTGAGTGCCCCAGCATGAGACAGAACATCTTCTGGGGCAGCTAGAGTTGGTCCAGGGGCTCTCTCTTTAAGATGTGTCCGTGGACCTAGGATAGGGGAAAGGAAAGGCTTATTATAAAGTTTGGATTCTGCTTCGTTTATGTACCTTGTATCTGAAACCTTTTTTTCATATTCTTAGTCTTCTTTCTTTGAAATGGCTGTATGGCATTCTGTCAGGTTTCTAGAATAGTTGGTGGATGGTCTTTGGGGATTATATTCATGACTTAAAACTCCTTTCCTGCTTTGTGATATGATCATGAGTCTGGGGTGGAGAAGTTTGTAAATGGGGGCCAGCTCCCCACGACTGGAAACTGAAGGGCACACTTTCTGTCTTGCCCCGTTCCCCTTTTTGGGTTTGTGGTAGGGACAGTTTTTCAGGTTATATGTTGGTTATAGCAAAAGAAGGCAGAGGTCAAACTCATGGCTAGCTAGTGGCAGAGACACCCTTGTTTAAGAAGGTTGGGTGGGGGAAGGAGCTGGTGCCCTATTGTCCCGTGGGTCACTGTTGCAGATCACAGACGCCAGGTCACTAACTCCAGAGCTCTGGTGGGATGAATGCCCAGCAGCACTGGACACACGTTCAGTATGGGGGTATTTCCGTCATCTCCAGAGCACATTCACATGGCTTCAGTAGGGTTAAGCATACGTTTTTGAATTTTTCCCCTTAAGACTATTACAAATCCTTAAAACTTAATTCCTGTGAATCATTTTGACTTAGAAATACGTTGAGTAGTGGCTGGGCGCGGTGGCCATAATCCCAGCACTTTGGGAGGCCAAGGCGGGCGGATCACAAGGTCAGGAGATCAAGACCATCTTGGCTAACATAGTTGAAACCACGTCTCTACAAAAAATACAAGAAAATTAGCCGGGCGTGGTGGCGTGCACCTGTAGTCCCAGCTACTCGGGAGGCTGAGGCAGGAGAATAGCGAGAACCCAGGAGGCGGAGCTTGCAGTGAGCCGAGATGGCACCACTGTACTCTAGCCTGGGCGACAGAGTGAGACTTCGTCTCAAAAAAAAAAAAAAAGTTGGACTAGTGTATATTTACATTGGTTTGAATGTGACAGTAATTTTATTTTATTTTTTGTTTTGTTTTTTGAGACAGAGTTTCATTCTGCTGCCCAGGCTGGAGTGCAGTGGCGCAATCTCGGCTCATTGCAACCTCTGCCCTCCGGATTCAAGTGATTCTCTTGCCTCAACCTCCCGAGTAGCTGCGATTACAGGCGCGTGCCAACACGCCTGACTCATTTTTGTATTTTTAGTAGAGATGGGGTTTCACTATGCTGGCCAGGCTGGTCTCGAACTCCTGACCTCAAGTGAACTGCCTGGCTTGGCCTTCCAAAGTGTTGGGATTAGAGGTGTGAGCCACTGCCACTGGCCGACAGTAATTTTGTAAAAATTATAAAGCAAAGAGCAGAGAATGATCTTGAAAAATGAAATGGGCTGGGTGTGGTGGCTCACACCTGTAATTCAAGCACTTTGGGAGGCCAAGATGGGCAGATTGCCAGAGCTTAGGAGTTTGAGACCAACCTGGGCAACATGATGAAACCCCGTCTCTACAAAAAAATACAAAAATTAGCTGGCGTCATGGTATATGCCAGCTACTGGAGGGCCTGAGGTGGGAGGATAGCTTGAGCTCAGGAGATCAAGGCTACAGTGAGCTATGTTGGTGCCACTGCATTCCAGCCTGGGTGACAAAGGGAGACCCTGTCTGAAAAGGAGAAACAAAAAAAAAAGGTAGAGGGGAGGGGTAGGGGAAAATAAAAGGATTTTTGAAAATAAACCAGAATAATGCACCCTCTTCCTGTTTTTCATTCACTCAGGATTCCTTTTAAATGAGAAAGTTTTGGTTCCTGGATACTTTTTGGTTAGTGATACCTTTCTTCTCTCTTTTCAGAAATAACTAGGAAAATTGTTAAAAGTCCCATAATTTTGTGTGGATTTACCAATGTTGTGAACCTTTCCCTTAATTTTGAATTATTCTTCAGAATTGGGGAGGTGAAGCTGGTTCTGCAAGTTTTTGTAGTAACATGTATGTAAAATAGCACTGAAGGAGTAGGGACAGATTTTGATATAATTTATTATTATTTATAAACTCTGTGGGAGAGGAAATGGGCTTCGAAAACCCACAGAAGTAGCTGGTGTGTAATTTACCATGGCTCTGGGACTGAAGTAACCCACACACCCTTCCTTCATAAACTTTCCAGAATTTATTTAGGTTATGCTGATTTTATTCCTTTGAGAACTGATTACCTCTCAGGAGTATAATCAAGATGGGCTTGTGTGGGATGGGGCCAAAGGGAGAATGGCAGGCAAACATCTCAGAGAAAGTGGTTTTACCATCTTGAGGTGAGTAATCTTTAAAGTTTTAGCTGCTGTAAAATGGGATGCTATAAAATTGGGGGGAGTTTTCCTTCTACCTGGTTTCGTTCCCCCATCCCCTAGCCCCATGCAACTGCATTTCCCCTCTTCTGTGCTGAGAGAAAGGAAAGCTGCCTCTCCTTTCTTGGTTTGGTAGCATGGCTTCCAGTAGTCGTCTCCTTGCTCCTTTTTTTTTTTTTGAGACGGAGTCTTGCTGTTTTGCTAGGCTGGAGTGCAGTGGCGCCATCTCGGCTCACTGCAACCTCTGCCTCCTGGGTTCAAGTGATCTCCTGCCTCACCCTCCTGAGTAGCTGGAACTATAGGC